AAAGTGTGCATGGATGACGATGGTAGACGTTTTCAGATGTCGATGACTGGCTGCCATTGGTAATACATGGACGGATTTTTTGTAATCAAGTGTGTACAATAGATGGCGGTTTCGTACATTTCTTGCTGATTGAATTTAACTATTTTTAAAATATCATCATGGCTAATCACAGGAAATATGTGAGACAGCTTAGTCGGCTCTTTTTTGTAAAAAAATTGGCCCCACAAAAGTCCTTTATCGTAAGCACGGAATTGGCTGACTTGACCAACAGTCCACGCGCACAAATACCACAAATAGTTATTACCTTTTGAAGCGCTGTTTGCATAAATAGTGCCTTTTGTTGCGTCTTTGGTTTTACGTGCGAGATGGAAGTTATTGCACCGTTTATTCGTCCGCAGGGCATAAAACCACCCCATGAAAGGTGTTAACGTCGAAGCAGAATACCCGAATTCACACAAAGTTCTGCATTAAGACAGATAATTTTCAAGCTTTCGCGATGGTGGCTTAACAGTCGAAATCGGGCGTTTGCAAAAAGGCAGGGACCTTTGTTTAAACTGGCAACAAGTTATCAACCGAACAGTTTAAAGACTTCTACTAACTGCATTCTACTACAGTTGGACTAGACAAAACCCCAGCATCTTCTATCGTAATACCTTGTTGAGAGCCCGATATAGGCCTATAGAGGTCAAGTCGTCACCACTGCAGTCTAGACAGAGGTGTCGTCGAATGTAGTTGGGGGTTAAATGGGTGTCGCCGGTTGCAGGAGCAGATGCCCAGATTAATCCGTACAGATGGCCTTTTGACTGCACTGATATTTCTTTGTTTACCATGTTTCTAAGTTCATCTTGAGTTGCTGGGGATTCACGGTACCCCAAAACTGCTTATCGTAGGTTTTGGCACAATCTACACTAATTCACCAACATGTGTTTTATCAAGCTTTTTATCAGGTCAAGGTCAACCTTGACTTGAATTAGCGTGCACTTTTTGACAACTCACTCCGGACATTGGCCGACTTAATTAAAGCTCTCTACACGAGCTCTGGTCTTGTTCCTGTATTAGGTTGAGGAGATCGGTGTTAGCGTCAACAAGGGATCTGGTACCGTTTTATCTGCGTGGATTTTTCTTTGTTACAGGCAAACGTAACATGAGTCAACACAGCCGTAGAAAAATTTCACTTCAATAAAATTGCGCGCAGGGTTTAATGCTCAACATGCAAAGTGCGAAGTCACATTTCCTTTTGTTAAATAAGTTTGAAAAGGAATGAGTGCTGAAACTGCATCAAGTCAATCTAGGGACCTTCATTTAGATTGTGCTTCTGTTTGCCGGATGGCTAAAATGTGCTTTTGTCGATTACGATATGATGTCTTAAAAGTGCTTAAATTCATTATGGAGGATCTTCCAGGAACTGTTAATGCTCATTCCATAACTTGATGAATGAAAACTACGGGTTGCTCCGGAAGAAGTCACTCAGGCAGTAAATGTTGACGATTCAAAAGTATTCAGCCAATCGAAAATCAGTAAATGGGTTCCGAATGGTTCCTGCTGAAAGGACACAATATTCTAGTTGTGTTTCACTAGCTACTCCTTCCATCACCAACCAGGGAAACCAATCTTCCCATAATTAAGTCAAAAATTGAGATGAATTTGTGGTGAATCTTGATGGTTTGTGTCAATTAACATGGTCTCCGCATTCCCTGCCATAATGATCTCCTTTTCGCAGTGTCCCTATCGATCTTGCAAACCCGTCTACTTATGATCCCTGCGCGTGTATCCCTCCTACGTTACTCGCTTCATTCATCTGCCCGTCCAGACATTTATACTTTTACAGATTCACCCAGACTCCGTCGATCTTTGACCATATTTAGTAATACACGTTTTATGCTAACTGGCGTGACTAACAGTACTCGGTAGAGGTGTCTTGCAAGCGGTCGTGTCTCTGGCATCTCTGGTCTTCCGCTTGTTTCCTAAGGTATCTACTCAGCAGACTCTGTGTGGTACAATACCACGCGCAGAGGCCTTCAACAAATCATTGCTTTTGCACAACAACAGGATAGGAAAAAGAATCTGGAGACATGAAAGTGGGAGAGTGGAATCTATGGCAGGTATTGAATTGTATCCAAGAAAGGCATCGTTGTGCCCGCTGGGGCAATTCAAGGAAGTCACTCTTACGTGTTGTGGAGAAGTACAGTGAGCAGCACACTCAAACCAGTGCTGGAATCTGTGGCGATGTCTGAGGGCGCAGACATATTGGACTACGCTGGTCTCAGCCGATTCTGTGTCGCTCTGCGATCCAATGGCATGCGAGGGAGATAAGCGGCCAATCAAAGAAGGGCACGAATGAGGTGCAGAATATAATGAGCGGCGTTGCCAGCGTGGTGGACGGCGCCTGACGTGTGGTTCCGGCTTGTGATTGGCCAATAAAGCCTATTCTGTTGTACCAGTCTTCTTCCTACTAGGGCTCGGGTATTCTACAAATCCAATCGGAAAGGCGTCACCCTACACTTAGACACTGCAAAACATTGAAGGCCGTGTGGGCGTGACCTTGTCTCTCCACATTTATTTCTGCTTTGTTTCGCTCAAAATATTTTTACTTGGAAAAAACTATTTTATGCATGAAAATCCTTCCATGTGACCGTAAAATAACTGTGGCTAAGTATTGTGACAAGCAAACCCGACTCGATGCTGAAATTCAAGCAGAGTTAGTGAGACCACAAGTCATTCAACAGTTATTACAATATATTTATTAAGTTAAAGTGGGAAATCCACTTGAAGCACCCACAATGATCCTCTTCAGACGATTTTTCTGCCTCGTTCTCTGCAAGACGATTTGTGTGGCAAAACATTAGATTCCACGAAAGATCGCAAAAAAGCGCCTTTCGACTTTCTTTGAGGTTAAAGACCAAAGACTTGTGAAGTGTTAAACGACAGGTGAAGAAATTCAAGTTTTGTGAAACACCTGGGCTAAATTTAAACTGTCGCAGTAGACCAATCAATGGCCTAGACCACTTGTGTTGGTGTGTGTTTGAGCGGACACACGGTACTCCATGCTTACACGTGTCCACATTCCCACTGGGACCGTTAAAAAGGTATATCGATCGAACAAAACGATTACTGGCATGGAAAAAGTAGTGCGTTATCACCACAACAACCAATTTCAGTATCCACCTTTTTCTATGTGCCCAATCTAGCCTCAAGTCAGCACCCAGTGGATATCAATTTTCAGTAAAATCAATACTTGCTTCGGCCGCGTGATTGGTCTGAAAATACTGTGTACATTGTGTGGTCGGTATCAGCAAAATTGCGTTTCTGCCGCTTAACATGGCGTGATTTCCAAAAAAGGAGTTATCGTTTTGATCAGGGCTGGGGACTGACTCACAAGTGCTAATTTATGGACCATTACGATTTTATGTACCCGGTTTAATGGAAACTCGGCTGGAAGGAGGTGAAATAATTGGAGTGAGCGCAAGCACACGAGTTGGTAGCAAACTTTTTCGCGTCGCTTCACACCTAGCGAATTGGCTAGACTTGAATTTTGAATTCAAATCAGTACAAGCAACAAAGAATGGGGTGTCTTATCGTTTTCAAAAGTGCGCTATGAGTAAAATTGTTCAACCAGTAGAGTCCAAGGTCAAAGTTTTGTTAGAATTAGTAATCTCAAAATCGATATTGACTTCGATTTCCTTTTTACATGAGATGTGAACAGAAATTTACGACCAACACGTTGTTAAATTGTCAAAAATTTAACGCAAGCCATGCAATTGGTGGCTCAAATGTTCCGCCAATAAGCAGAAATGGTGCAGGAAATAATTAAATTGATTAAAATGGTGTATGTGTGTGATGGAGATTTATTAAACGTACAACAGTAATGCAGCCGAATTTACATGGGGTAAATCTTTACCAAAAACGTGTCAAAATCCTTGCTGACAAGAACCTTGGTTCAGACTAGAAAGATTTTTGAACCCACCTCTATTCAAGGGCCAGGTGAGAGATGTTCTAGCTTATAGGCAATCGAGAAAAAACCTGGATCAAATAGAGGATAATGTACACACAGTGCTGACGGCCAAGGCAGGTGTTCGTGCTAAAAATTAACTGCATTACGGCTGCAAACACATCGCTGGTAAACCAGCCACGGTTGATACTAACTACCTGTGTTTTGCCAGTTTCGCTGTGATAATCAGCATGTTTAAACTCTAGCTTTACCCGTGTGCGTGTGTGTAGATTGAAATCCATTTCCCCACACAACTTGCCCGCTGGCAATTGCGCTCTTTGATGCCTCGAAAAATAACCCACCAGGCAAATTAAATGCTTCCTTCATAAGGATAAAGCAAAATCTACAAAGGTTTGAGCCAACAAATTCCCATCCACTCTGTGTTTTCGTGCAAACTGCATCCCTTTAATTGGTGATTCTGGCGTGACGCCACGAACCGTCGGGCGTTTTTCCGTCTAAAAGGCAAATATTCCCTCTGGAGAGTGAATTGGTCGGATCAAAGTCCTGTACTGCGTTTGTAGAACAATCGTTAGAAGTCGCACATTTCTTCACCTCGCGCCCCGTGTTTACCTGAACAGTCAACTGCATGCAGATTCGCTAGGAAGTTGTTTACTTCGAAAACTAGCATGGCAGCCTCACAAGCTTGGTTTTCGTCTAGACAGGAAAAAAGAAAATTTCGACTCGAGAAAGGCCATGCAAACGTTTATTCGATGTGTGGCGGTTTGTGTCAGTACAAGCATTCAAAGTATAAACACCACAAAGGCCTTGAACTGAAGACCTACAATTAAGCGATAGCCAAACTGTCTTGTTCACTTGACTTGCCATAAAAGCTGACAAATTGTGGATGTGCCCAGATCTTTGGTAAATCTTCACGGACTCAGTTAAATTAAAACCAGTTATCGTACTTTTTGATGAGGGCGCTCATAATTTATATAATGCAGTTTATCATACTGATTTCGATAAAATTGGGTGGTAACCAATATGAGAATGCTGCCCTGTAGCCCGGCTTTCATCATTGTTTCTCGTCATTTTCATCGTTGTTCTGCAAAATGTATACTGCAGTTGGCGGTAGGGGTAGCTGTGAGTGATTGGACGACCCAGAAGCCCGACATTTGAAGTGGGAACCGAAAAAACACGGACCACAACACTGACTCAGTCCCAGCATCTCACAGCCAGGGAGAAGAAGACGGTTCGGTACACAGTGGGTGTGTTTGGCTGATGGGTCTCCCGCGTTGCCGATGCTCGGGTAAGGCGTGGCGGGTGGGCCAGTTCCCATGGGCTGTAAAAACCACACAAGCAGTGGATTCTCCCACAACGAGAGGTGCTGAAATGTTGGAAAAAGAAATCACGGTCCACGGCGCTCATCGGCTCGACTTCACCCGCCTTCTGGCATTCCGAAGACTTCAAAGTTGTCGTCAGGTGCGTCTGTTTGCAGTTGGGCAGATGGTTGTCTGAAGGTCAGCCGAGGGGTACAGCCATGTCTGTGAAATCAGTGACCTTGGATGTGCGTTCACTTGAACATTTTGAGTCCCCGATAAAGGACAAAACACACGCACCCTCAAAAACGGCTAACTGTGTAGTGATAAGCATTGACGCGCTGTTCCCCTTACAAGCGAAATTTCCCTCGTCAATTTACAAAATACCAGAGTTGGATAGTGGGCGAATACACCCATCTTTGGCTTTCCAAAAACACGCGTTTTTGGCAAATAAAAGGCTGTGCTGGGAGGTATCAAGATGCAATATTCGAGCTACAGCGAATCCGCAAGTGAGGAATCTCGTTTGGTTTTTCCAGTAACCGTTGATGCCATCCAACTTTCAGCTCGACAATGAACGCTAACTGTAATGACCAAAAAGCATCGAAACTTCCGAAATGAATGACGAACATTTAATTCACGGAAATCGTTTATAAACAGGCTTCCAAGATTACGTATGAGGGAGTTTAAAAACACGAACTCTCCAAAGTGTCCTTTTGCAGTCGACTCCTGCCTGAGTCCATTTTTCGCTCATGTGACGTTCGATTGATGTCGAGTTTTGGCATATAACCGGAAGATATTGAGGTACAAAATTAGAGCTACTGAATTTTCAGGCTATCCATGAAGACTTTTATCCATAGAAGTCCTCCTTTAACAAAGCTCCACGATTACGCTTTAATTAAAGTGTCGATTGTTCCTGGTCACTTTTAATAATGCCCTGACAACGCTGCTTCCCTTATTAACAATGGACCTAATTTTATGCAATTCTTTGCATCTTGTAAGTAGTATTCAGTGTTTCAACTGCTGTGTTGCGTCTTTTTCTAGTTAACGTGTTTCATTCTACTGAGCAAGCTTTTGTAAGCACGCTATTTGCCCTACCAAAACTGGAGACAGGCGGAGAAGGTATTACTGTGAGATATAAATCACTATTTGTGGCAAATAGACGTTTTCTGCACCTCGACATCTGTCCCGACTTCAGCAACCAGACACCCGGTAATATGTTTACGTGACTCCGGTAACACACAAAGAAAACAACTTAAGGGTTGGCTATTTTGATGTCAAAATACGAGCAATTGATCATGCAAATGAGTTACTTGGCTTACCGAAGGTATTGCTGATAATTCAGAGAAATGCAATCCCTTTCGGGACGGGTCTGTTGAACATATCAAAGCTAGTGTTAATGACGGCCGTAATCTAGTGAAATACCACCTTATTGTAATCAAAGATGACTTCAGTGGAACGTGGTAAGTCATTAGGTTGGTATTCAGTTAAGACCTGATTGCAAGACACATTTTGGGAGCCACGTTTTTAGTGAATAGAGCGGTGAAGAATGCCAACTCAATTTCAACTAAAAAGCTTTAAAAGAGAAAGCACTAGTTGGCTAACAAACCGATCGGGCTAAATTTGACAAGGTATTTCCGAGACAGGGTTAAAACTGTCCGAAGACTTTGGGTGAGTCACGTAGGAAGAAGCAAGATTCTCAAGAGAATGAACTAGTGGTCCAAAAAAGAGCTTTCCAGTCGCCACCCGAAATGGCTCAACACGCCTGTCAAATCTAAATTCTTGTGAATTCTAATGTGCATAGGTTTGGGTTGACGCTCTTCGAAGTGCATGGGTAACGTTCTGGTAAATTATCTGACCAACAGAAAGCGTTAAACTGACGCGTCTCCCTGCCATCGGGAGAATATTCCAGCCCGGTATGAGGGTATCGTCTGCAGAACACAGAATGGCACCCAACCACCGAACTTTTAATGTTTGCTTGGCTCGCTTCACAGATTCGTTAGTCGATCCGATGTTCTAAACGGCAATGGAGTGAGTTTATTGCATGGGCCACTGTGGGATTTTTTGCCACCAAAATAACCACATTCTAAAAGATTAATAAATGTGTATTAAAAAAACATTGTGAACACACATAAGTTGTTATTTACTGAAGGACGCAAAAAACAGCATGTAAAATGTTTTCCCAATTTGTTCTGAGGAAAAAAATATGAAATTTCGACCATTTGTTTAAATATCAATTTCCAGTTAATCCGAACGGCATTTCAAAATGTTGGGTTGTGGGGTGTAAAGCGAACCCCAATTGAGATGAACAGTGAGTCTGAGAAATGCATTAAAGCTTGCACTTTTTGCTGAAGCAGCTTTTGCCCACAAGTGTCGTTATGACTTTTCAATATCCTTGGAAACGACAAGTGGTGATCACCAAGTCGGCGACAACTTAAAAATTAGGATTTCAAAAACTGAGACGAAAATTTTAAAAGTTCAACCTAACAATTAAATCAAAGCCATCGTGTAATTATGAAAGGTCCACTGGTGATTCATTCACTACCAAAGTTATGAAATGCACGCTAAATAACCTACAGACAGATTTTTAAGTGATTAGAATAGTTTTTAAAACCATTACACTACCAAAACGACGAATAATGTTGTCTTCAGAACTTTTCACTTGTTCCATAAAGTTTAATTGAACCTTTTAATGGTAAAGAAACGATATTTATTCTGCTTGTAACCTGCCTACGGGTGATGCATAATCGGTTTAAGGCGTCGTCATATGCGATCTAAACAAGATTGCAAATTATAACTTACTAATAACTGAATTTCGTACCATAAAAATAATAACTAATGTGGTTTTTATAGGATACATGGTTGTGTTTATTAAATAAAAAGAGGTTTAAAAGGTTAACTGGGCAAATGCGCCGCTAAATAATGATTTTTTCCCCAAAATTTACTCTTTTACAGCTTATAGAGGAACATTGTAGGACTTCCCTGCCCTGTATATAAATTAATGGTAAAGTCTTTAGTAAACAAGCAATTCACGTTCACAATGCACGCAAGACAGTGACGCCTTCAGAAAGGGGCTGGACGTGGAAGTATCACTGGGGCGCTAATCGACTTATCACATCAACACGATCTGATTCTACCTTCTGTGGCCACATCGTTACATTAAGAGACATTAACTGTTTGCACAACAATGTGAGTAATAAATAGCTAACACATAGCATTTAGATTGCACAATTGCTAAAACTCGATGTGCAGATAAACTGTAAATCCATAGGGGCTTTTATCCAATGAGTGATCGAGCAAAGGTTGCATTTATCGATCACGGAATGTAGTTTCACGAGAGAAGAAGGCGCTTATAGAGTGGCTCGCGTGCAACTAACCAGTTAAGAACAGAAATTTTATTGGTATCACAGGTTTGCGTAATTGTACAGGTGGATTAAAAGCCTACTGGACATTATTATGCGCCCTTCATCAAGTATGCGATCAGAGGAAGGTTGCATTTATTGATCATAAACTTTTGTATAAGAAAAAAACAGCCGTTGATCGCGTGACTGGTGTGGAACTGACCACTTTAGTCGACATCAACCGCACTAGTGCAAGCCGGGCCTGCTCAAACAAGCGACACTCAGCCTGAAAGACGTTACTTATGACGAGGTGAAGATAGTGCTTGTGTCATGGTCACGGGCTTCATGCAAAGTGAAACCGAAGGCCAAAGCAGCGTTGTGGAATGTGGAACCTCTGAGCTCAATCCGCCGGCATAATCGACCATGAACCACTTCAAATCGGAGTTAAACTATGAGTTAAATCGATGCAATGTAGGTGACTACTCAACTGACATTTACTTGGAGCTGACTGCGCAGTCTTAGATCACTGGTTTTTGCACGAATTGATTAGACAAAATTTTAAAATTTCATGACTGGTCACCTTCAAGTCACAAACAGTGCCTTTATCGTCTGTTGTTTCGAGGTTGTCTGCACATCGTGAGTGGTTGTTTACAGCCCAGGTAATTTGATTTTTTTTGAGGTGGGTTGTCGTGAGTTGCGCTGGCCGTCGAACAACATCGTCACTGCTAATTTCCACGTTCGTTTTGTTTTGAAGGCTGGCGTCTAACAAAGAACAAGGAGGTGGCCAGCCACACCAAGTAGCTGTGAAATCCTTCAATGTTTTGTGCTGGTTCCAACATGGAAATCTTTGGGTGTTCCCATCCAACGATGAGGTGAGATCTTGATTTCTCTCACTTCAGAAAGAGAAAGTTTTGGAAATCACCTATTCCTCGTAATTTACAACTTAAGTATTAAGTCCTTCAGTCCCTAAAGCGGAGAAATTTAAGATAGGATTTTTTTCTCAAAAACGACAATTTGACGAGGATTTCAAACATTCATTTCGCTTCCTCCAACAAATGGGGTTTTCGGTAGGCGATCAAGGCCAAATTTGCTGAGAAGCACATGAAATATTTTGTACTTGCAATGCAAAGCAAACTCGGCATATTTTTGAAACATCTTCAGGTATGAATCTGTAGTGAATCGTGTTGATTCACGTCCAATAACCCTGTCCTCGCAGCTTCCAGCACACCTCCCCCCTTGTCACGTGAGACCGCTGGTTCATCACCCCGCTGAATGTACCATCACCACCACCACTTCCCGCATTGGTCATGTGTCCTCACAAACGCATGTGTTCATATTTACATGTCCACTCAACCGTAAAACGACACAACTTGGTTGAGCGGTCTAGTAAACGGTCGTACCTACCATCTCTGGACTTATTGTCTTTCTGGGTTAGCCTCGCGGTAAAAGGTCTTCAACAAATTGGTGACCCCGACGAATCCATGCGGTGGCGATATCATGATTGATGTGGTTTAGCAACACATTCGCTTTGGCGATCTATTTGGTGCATGTGGCAATTAAATATATGCCAGGGAAAACAATGCAGTTGAATAAGTACTTGTCGGTAGTCGGAATTTTTCAGCCAATCAAAATCCAATCAAAGTAGTTACGGATTTGGCGGTGTGATTTGTGACTAAATGGATACGAATTCCCCGATAGTCCAGCATTATCCTGATTGGTAAATTCTCATCCCAACACACCAAGGTCCATAGTTTGTGCTGTTAACTTGCTTTAACTACGGAGGTCAAGTGTAGTGAGGGTTGGTAAGTTGAAGAAAATGTTAGTATGACTTGAAAAGAAACGAATATTTCAAATGTCAGAGGTTGTATTACCCCTTTAGTTTCGACCAAATCTGCCTTTTTGGTTGCTGTACCTTCCCACCAACCAGATATTCCCCGTAAAGAAGCACATTCTAGACGTAAATTTTGATCTCACTTTTATTATGCGCACCAAAAATCGTGGATAGCAAAAGATCCATTTTAACAATTTCTTTTCGCAAATAATTCAAACAAGATCGGCAGAGATATCTAAGATTATTTT